GCCATTACCTCCTCCTCTACCTCTTGAGCGCCAGAGAGTAAGGGTAGCATTAGCATTGTAGGAGACAATGTAAGCATTGTAAGTAAACATTAGCTTTTCTTTTTTTTTTTCCAGTAAGAGGTTTTTATTTAATAGAATTTTTGGACAAAAAAAATCGCAATATATCGCAATATATCGTCTTGCTTACAGTATCGCAATGTATCGGGATATATCCTATCGTGACCCCTCTGTTATGATATGTATCGTATCGCCAAATTCTTGCCAATACACAGCCCTAGTGTTTACTACATTCAGCGATGGTAAAAACGGGATGTTTTTTTTATTTCAGTCAATATAAGCAGCTGAAACACCACCCGCCGCCAGTTACTCCAACGAGCTGCTCCAACAACAACATTAGCATGCTAACGCACATAGCTGTGCTGTGAGGAAAAGTGTCCCCGGGAAACAGTTCACTGGCGGCCACAACAAAACGTTCCAAATGTGTTCAGGCTATTTAAACCGGTATGTCCGGTATTCAGAAAATTCATATCATAACAAAAATAAAAACCGGTTTTCGGTACAAAATGGTATACCGCCCAGCACTAACGTGGCATTGAGTGCTGCTCTCCTCAAGCCGCCGCTTTGTGCTTAGAGGGCAACAAGAAATCAAATTAAAACACACAAACCTTCAAATGATACCAATAAATTCTTTCAAGATAAATTAACAGTCACCTTAAGCCCATTTTTAGGTGACAGCATGAAGCTCTACACAAACACTACAAACGTTTCTCACAGCTGCTCACCTATGCAGACGTCAATCTTGCCCTTGATAGCAGCTTCGTGCAGCGGCGTGTAGTTCCAGTTGTCTCGAGCGTTTGGGTCAGCGCCTTGACACAGAAGCAAGGACACCACCTGAAACAAGATTCACAGCATTTTTCATTACTTGACAAAAAAGAAACAACGTCATATTTCTCCTGAAGTCACACTTGTTGCTCACAGGTAGACAAAACTCATTGCGGTCTTGAGAAAATCCTTGCAACAACAAACTAAATGACTAGTAGGAATAAAAAGGTAAATAAATATTTGTGCAAACCAAAGAGACAGAAGTCCAGTGTGTTTGTGAAATCACTGAACAATAAGGGTGGGAGTGCTATTTGTCCTAGTAATGCTTTAATAGTATTGTATTATCAGTTTATTTATTATTAACCTTTATTTAACCAGAGAAATTTCACTGAGATCACAGATCTTTTTCATGTACAGCCTCGCAGCAGCCTAAATGTGTTATTCCTGTTTTTTTCATTATTTTTGAACCTTAAAGATTCGAGTCCAGGAACGCCCCAGCACATCATCAAATCTAGAGTGAATTGTGGGACTTGAATCTCCCATTTCTGCTTTAATATTTGTAAAAGTATCACTTGATTAAATGGATTTATGAGTTCCATCTGACCTCGGAATGACCAAAGGAGCAGGCATTGTGGAGCGGGATCAGACCCCCGTCGTCTCGAGCGTGCACGTTAGCGCCCGTCTGAAGCAGGTGGTCCACCACGTCTTTCCGACCAAAACCTGGGACAAAAGAAGTGGGCTTTAATACTTGAATACTTCCTGTCTGCTTTCAGTGTTGTTTGATGTGCAACTCTACATAACCAGAATTTATTTATTGATTTTTTTAACACAACAAATTAAAACCAAAGAAAAAGTCATCCTGAACTGTATTAAATAGGGCTGTGTATTGGCAAGAATTTGGCGATATGATACATATCATAACAGAGGGGTCAAGATACGATATATCCCAATATATTGCAATACTGTACGCAAGGCAATATATCGTGATATATTTGCGATTTTTGTGTCCAAAAATTCTATTAAATAAAAACCTCTTACTGAAAAAAAAAAGAAAAGCTAATGTTTACTTACAATGCTAATGCTAATGCMACCCTTACTCTCTGGCGCTCAAGAGGTAGAGTAGCCAAATGGCTGGCTCGCTGCTGCCAACTAGTGGTCATAGGCTGAACTACAGCATAAAAATGAACGGCTGGCAAGAAGCTTGACATTTTAAACCTTAATTAAAAATCTATATAGGGCTTTAGAATATCGATACAGTATCGGGAAATGAAATATCGCGATATTTCAGTGCATCGATATTTTCTTACACCCCTAGTATCAAATGGATCAGTTTGAAAAAGTTTACTAGATGTGCAATTTTTAAATGCTGGTATGCACTCAATGTAAACAAAACACTTTTATCTGCATACTTTACTCAACAAATAAGTGTAAAAATGTACAGTAAATCAACTTTTTTTTACTTCTTCATCCCAAACAGCTTCCAACATTGACCTGTAAACAAACGCAAATGATAGATGGCATCCATTCACAATTTTTATTTATAAATAATGTTTAATGCACAATTAGCAACAATGCAAAACACGCACTGTGCAGATTTTGGTTTTTACTATATGTTTATTTAAACTGGTCATTATGACATTGCAACCCAAAAAAGCAGACTGAAAGCAGATGTGCATGCAATGTTAAGGTTTGTCGTCTTTAACTGGTTAAAGAACAGCATACAATGAAGTCTGGTGTCATATTTATTTATAAGAGTAGCTATTTTCTTCATTGATTCAGGAACTTTGATCCTTTAGATCAGTGCTTCTRAAACATTTTAGCTTTCAGCCCACAAAACAACAACTATCTTGTGATACCAGATATTGCTAGCTTGCAAACTTTGCTAACAACTACTAAACATGGGCATAGTATAAACAAAACAGATAACTACTGCTTTTACTCATACAGTTATTGTAAATTTTTTGCACTAATCATGGTGAAAATATTCAGACAATTTATTTGCATTTAAACTGATGTCTGGAAATCATCTGAAGACCCTCATAATGTCCTGACTCTTTGGGAACCACTGCTTTAGATAATTTACCTGCTTATTTAACAGGCCCTCTGCACACAACTTTATAAAACTTTAAAGTTGCAATAATATTAAACTGCATCTGATAAAAAAAATCGAAAAAAATTTGCAAGGAACAGTATTAAAATATATGTTTAAACGATCTAAAATTTAAAGTTAATAAATGCAAATAGTGTTTGATTTAATGTTAATTACTTTTTTTATTTTTCCTGATACTGTTTGAGATAATTAAAAAAATCCTGCTCTAAGACCATATTCAGTTGCAGCTATCCGCCCTTCAGCTCTGACTCCAGAGGTTGATAAACATACAAACAGTTTAAATGTGTTTTTCTTTGCTTTTACCTGCAGCAAAATGCAGCGGTGTTGATTTGCGCCCGGCCATGTCTTTGGCGTTCACATTAACGACATCTACGAGTTTCTTCACCCTCGAAACGTCCCCGTTTCGACAGGCTTCAAACAGCTCCCTGAAGGCTCCGTTACCCCCGCCGCTGCTGCTCGGGTTCCCGCTACTGGAGTCGGGCGTGGAGCCGGGGCTGGGCTCGCTCCCCTCCGCCGTGGTCGGGGAGCTAGCGCTGCTACTACCACCACCGCCGCCGCCTCCGCTGCTGCTGCTGCTGCTGCTGCTGGGCGTGAGGGCCGAAGCTGGGGAGGTGGTGGTGGTGGTGGGAGAGGTCGGTGCTGCCTCACCGTCAGCGACGCTTTCCATGGCTGCTACTCCGCGGGGAAGCGAGGTGACATCTTCGGTGGTTGACGGGGGAGTGCCGGGCGGGGTGACGGGGAGAGAGGCCCCGCGGGGAGGGGAGGACAGCAGGGAACTCGGCTGCTGCTGCTGAGAGGGGCGACGAGGCGTCGCCATTTTCACAACACCACAGTCCCCACTAYCAACAAAACAGTGCCGACAATTTCCTGTCCGGAAAACGTAACTTCCGGTCAGGCATCKCAGCTGCTGGACTCTGTCCAAAATATTTCATTTAGCTACTAGAGACTAATAATTACATATTAGCTTAAGTATGTCCAATATGTATGTTCATCATTGTGTTCTGTTATTATTATTATTATTATTATTATTATTATTATTAT